CTGTAGTGCTCGGCTGCGAACAGTAAGGTAGATGAGTCAACCGGTTGCTCCACGGGAAAACGCTGAATCGGTTTGCACCCATAAAGGGCTCCGAAACCACATACAGGGTCACTAGGAGATGGAATTGACTTGATGGCAGTGGGTTTGGTTTTGTGTACGCTCATTCTCACTGCTATCAAGCTGCTTCTGACTCATAGTAACCCTATAGGGCAGGTTAGAACTGGTTTCCACATAAACCTACTGTCAGCAAAGTCAATGTCAACCAAAGTGACCCTATCTGCCCTGCAGGTTTTCTAGACTGCAGCTGTTAGCTAGAGTAGAAAGCGCTGTCTTTCTCCCAAGGAGCAGAGATCTGCCAACCTTTTGGATTGCAGCCCAACATGTAACCACTCCACCACCAGGGCCCTGACCTCGGAGCAGGGAGAAGTGTGACTGGGTCTGAGTACTGCTGAGCCAGAGTGGTGCACAGTGTCCCCAGGGCTTGGAGGAGAGAGACAACACCCAGCCTGGGTGGAGGTGACCATCCTGGAGTGTGGTGGAGTGAGGAAGAGGGAAGTGGAAGTGGAATAGAGGTCAGGGACACAGAGCTGCAGGGCCTAAGGTCAGGGACAAGGACAAGGGCTGAGGATGGATGCTGGGTTGGGCACGCGGGAACAGGGACAGGCATGGAAGGAAAGATCAGTAGGGGTCAGATGGTGACTTTATTCTGTGCAGCTGTGGAATTGTTTGTAGTGTGAAAGGGCGATGACAATGGAAGGCAGTGGCTTGAGGGCCAGATGCTCCATTTGTCCCTTGATCAAGGACTTTCAGATTATTTGAACATTTGTCCAATTGAAAGGTCGTGATCCAGGGAGCCCGTAGTCTATGAATTATCCATGTTTTGGTTTTTCTGCCCTGCTGCCCAGCTAGCAAATGTTAGTGTCTGCCCACCGGACTCCATGGGCTTTCTTCCCTCTGGCTTTCTCTTCTGAAAGAGAGGAGGAGGGCAGGCCTGAGTTCTCTAACAACTCTTCTTCTCACTCACCTTTGGGGACTGAAGCAAGCTGGCCGGCTAGGCGGAGGGCCTGGTGCTCAGCTCAGCAAACAGGGAGTGGCCTCTAGCCTGGAGCCATCTTGCTTCAGAAACTCAGTTTCCATGGTGAGTATGTGTGTGTTGGGGGTGAGGGTGGGGGGCTGGGGATGGAAGGAAAAAGCAAGCAAGAAAGCTAGCAGTTCACGTACCCCTTTTACAAAAAGGCTTTATATATATAGATCCGGAATACAGCATCTACCTTGTCCTATGAATCTTGAGCCCAGTCATAGGGAATTAGGAAAAGACCAGGTATTTTATCAAATATCAATTGACAGCTAACTAAGGGTATACGAGGGGGTACCCAAAAAGCAACTATATATTTTTCTTCCTAAGCTTTGTATTTCAATTTTTTTACAAAACAACCTATCACCTCCCAAGTACTCTCCATTCCACTTAATACATTTGTCAAATCTGCGATTCCATTCTTGGAAGCATTTTTCAAACTCGTCTGCTTGGATGGCTGACAGCACTTCCCTCATTTTTTTCTTCACCTCTTCTACTTCATCAAATCACTGTCCTTTCATGTCCCTCTAAATTCTCAGAAACAAAAAGAAGTTGCATGGAGTGAGGTGAGGTGAGTAAGATGCATGGGGCAAGAGACATGCTGGTTTTTGCCAAAAACTGGTGCACTGAGATGGCTGCGTAAGCAGGTTCATTGTTTTGGTAGCAAAACCAGTGCCTCATCTGCCATAAATCAGGCCCTTTTTTTTGCACACTGTTAAAGCAATTTTTTCAGAACCTCTCAATAGAAAGCTTGACCTGGTGGAATGAACTCCAAGTGCACTATCCCTTCACATAATAAAAACAAATGAACATTGTTTTGATCTTTGATTTCACTTGATGAGCTTTTTGAGGGGCAAGGTGATGATGGCGTCTTCCACTGGCTTGATTGATGTTTGCTTTCCAAGTCATAAGAATAACACTATGTCTTGTCACCAGTAATGACCTTGGAGGAAAAAAGTCTGGGTGTCTTCAGAGCTGTTCTTTCAAAACCCAGCATGTTTCCACTTAACGCTCTCTTTCCTGGTCAGTCAGAAACCAAGGCAAAAATTTCAAAGCTACCCATCTCATTCCCAAATCTTCTGTTAAAATTCACTGAACTCCAAGATAGCCCAGATAACTTCCCCATCTCTTCAATGGTCTGTGGTCAGTCTTCGAACATAAGTGCATGAATTTTGTTGACATTTTCATCCATTCGGGAAGTTGATGGAAGTCTAGAACAAGTTTGTCATCAATTGACATTTCACCGTTTCTGAAACAAGAAAACCACATGTACACTTGAGTCTTTCCTATAACGCTGTCCTGTAAGCTGGGTTCAACATCACAACAGTTTCTGTGGCATTTTTCCCCAAATTTCACAGCCGCATGCTGTTCTCTTAAATCGGCCATCACAAAAACGAGGTTTGAACGAAACTGCTTTTACAAAAAAATTCACCGTGACCAGAGATAACCTTCCCAGGAGATGCCACTGGGTGCACTGACCCAGAGCTTGTTGTTGGATGCTACCTAGCACGGTGATGGCGGTGGGGGGGGGTGGGGGGGGTGGGGGAGGCGGATGCATACTAGGAAAGCTCCGCCCAACAGAGCTTCTGTCGGGGGCTGGAGTTCACCAACCTCACCCCATCCTTACTGTGGACACCTTCCTCCCCTGATATTCACCTTGATTTGGACTTCTAAAAGGTTGTAAGTTTGTGTGCTCCAGTCTTATTTAAAGGCTGGTCTCCTTGGATCCGCATACACTAGGCCCGCAACATCATTGTTCACAGGGGGTTTGCTGTTTCCCCTTTTCTAGACCTACCTGAATCCTACCTCCGAGGCTAAGCTCAAATCATCGTCAGGAAGCCAATTTAGAAGAAGTTCTCAGAATTCCTAAAGAATTTATGGAACGTACCATTCATTCACTCATTCATGCCCTTATCTGCATGTAGCCTTGTGGTATGAGACGTTTATCACTGGGATCATAGATTCCTAGAGCCCAAGGGCTTTAACTCATACTTCTGTGCTGAGCGCAGAGCTGAATAATAGTAGGATCTCAGAACAGGCTTGTCAATTCACTTCCCTCCATAAATGTGCATCACCCGGTATCCACTATAAAGCTGGAATCGAAGGGAAGCCGAGAATAAGACATGATGTAACCCGAGGGCTCTCAGTTCATTTCAGGCTTGGCTCTGAGTCCAGATCAACTCCCAGAGTCCTGAGCAACAGAAAAGACAGCTACAACTGCCGTCTGTCCCACATCCTCTTTCTCTTCCCATCGTTGATACTTGTTGAGTGATCACACACCTGGATTATATATAGATGTGTGTGTATGTATAGGTATGTGTGTGTCAGTGTATATACAGACCCAGGGGCGCGGTTATTTGGCACTCAGCAACCATTTCCACCTTCTTCCAAGGAACCTTCCCGCATTGCCACTGGAGAGCAGCCTAGTTAGATGGTCTGCCCGAAAGAGGGAATAAAGAGGAGGCTGTCATCCCACTGCTTGTAGCTGGTTTCTTTGCTTTTTTTCTTTTTGTCGCTGTTTTCTGTGGGCACACACAGTCATGGTGCTGTGGGGCCAGAGGCCAGCATCCAACCCCAGCCTCATTAAGAGGCAGTTTCAGTGAAGGTAATAGTGTATTTAAAACAAAATAAAGTGAAAAGAAAAGAAAACCCTTGTTCACTGTGGATTGGGTAAAGGGAGCAACTTTTTGAATTTACTATTGTTCAGTCTTCCGAGAGGCCCAGCCCCCAGCCCACTTTCCTAGCTCTTCCCACATTTGAAATTCCCTGCACTAGTTCCGTGTCGGCATTAAGTTCCCACACGGGAGTCTGTTTGCTGTGGGGTTTTTTGAGTACCCCACCCTGTCAACTCCTTCGTCCCCCACCACACCTCCCACTGACATTTTACTTCTCCACTGCAGATATACTGAATCAGAACCTATGTTTCACTCCTCCTCCGGGGTGGAAATGCAAATCCTCAGCAGGTGAGTTGAACTGGAATGAACTGGTTTAAAGCCCCAAGCAAGATCCCTCCTCTAGCCATGTTGTAAAAGTTAACTGAACTGTAAAGCTGTAGCTAACACAGGAAAGGGGCTGCTTATTTTTGCGATAACGTGGTAAGGGGACCGAAGTGCTGTTGTAACTCTGTTTCTATTCTGCTGTAGGGTTCTCCCCGCGGTGGTGGAGTTGGGTTTGGTTCGTGTGTTGCTGCTACCTGAAACACTGCTGCGGCTCCAGAAGGCAGCCAGGACAAAACGAAGTGCAGCTCCCCTCCCGCACCCACCACCAACACTGGCCTCTGGCTTTCCCCCTTTTGCTTGAAGAAATAGATGAATATTCCCGTGATCTCCTCTCAGAGGACGCCCTGTTGGCAGTGTGGGTTACGAGTTGGGCTGCGAACTACAAGGCAAGGTCAGCAGTTCAAAACCACCGGCCACTCCGCAGGAGAAACTCCCGTGGAGAGTTAGTCTTGGAAACCCACAGAGGCAGTTCTCCTCGGTCCAGTCTCCGGCAGCGAGTTTGGGTTTGGGGTGCACTGAATTCAGCCCAGCTTTGCCGGACTCCAGTCATCTTCTGGGCTTGTTGGTGGGAGGTGTTGGGTAAGCAGCTGAGAGCGGGGTGAGTCTGCTGGCTAATCTAATCACGGGTTAGGCAGAGTGGGAGGGAGCGGACAGTCTTCACGTGGCCAGCTCTAGACACACCAAACACGTGTACTAGGTCCCAAAGTTCCCTAGGAGGGCAATCAGACGGAGGCTACGGTCCCCCCACCCCACGCCGGACCAAGCTCCTCGCTGCCTGCTCACCCTCCTGCAGGGAGAGACAGAGGTTGCCTGAATAGATTATATAAGACTGGCATTTTTGAAAAAGCGCTCTCAGGGACTGCAAAGCCACAACAAGCACAGACTGCCTCCCTGGGACATTCACCGTTGCGAGAAAACAGCGGCCCTGTGATTCTAATGTTTATTTCCTCGTGAACTTGGAGGACTTGAGGTTCAAAGATTCTTAGGTACTTCTCCACAAGGCCCCATTTTAAACTGAAAAACAGAAAACAAGAACTGAGTCAATAAAAGTTCCCAGCCATAGGGAGGTGGCCAGAGGGAGTAGAGCCCCATGCACCACCGGAGGCCTTAGTGGAAAAAGCAGTGGGCGGGTCTTGGAGTCATGCTGTCCACCAGTCTGCTTGTAGGCGGTGACTCACTCTGAGGAACAGGAGTGCCCTGTATTCTGGGGTCGGACACTTTCTCCAAGCGGGATGTGTGGCCAAGGCAGGAAATGAAGCAATCCAAAACTAATCATCAGCCAGGAGCAGGCAGACCTGGAAGTCCAAGTCATCCCCAACTGCTGCTGCTCAAAACGAACTCAGCGTCCCAGCATAAGGGACCGGATTCTGGTCAGAAAGGAAATCGGCTCCCTTTTGTCTTAGACAAGTAATAATAGCCTCTCTGACACACACGGGTCTCCAAGAGTCAGAATCGACTCCACAGCTCATTTGGGTCTGGTAACTTCTATTTGAAATAGTAACTCTTAGACTAGCCACTCCTAAGCCCCTCCCACCGAAGCCTGTGCCTCAAAATGACGAAATAAATTTTTTTTTAAATCAAGACAGATTCTGCACCAGCAGTGATCAGAAGCAGGAAGAGCAGCCTGCAATGGTATGAGGGGGAAATGATGCTTCATCCCAGGATCCTAAAAGAAGGTGAGCATAACAGGATGCCAGAGCTGAGCATCTGCCAGGCAGAACCGACACAGCTCAGGGAGAACTCAGAACAGCCTTGTACGCAGCCCCCCCCCCTCCCCCCGCCCCCCGTGCATCCTGTTTTCGATGGAGCCGCTGCTACCAGCAAGTAGGCACCAGGCCCGCCCTTCAGTGGGCAGTGAGGGGGTTAGGGACCCATCTGTCCTGCTTCCTAAGCAAAGGGGCTAGGAAAATGGTGCCCGAGCTTAGGCTGCCCTCTGCTGGGCAAGCACAGAAGCTGCTGTGGGGCCAGAGACAAGAGCCATCCCCAAAGGAAAAGAAGCCCCACGCAGACGCAGATTCTACACGTCTGTGAGGTGGCCAGGAGAAGGGGTGGTGCAAACAGGGAATGCGTTAGGCTACTAACTGAAAGGCTGGAAGTTCAAGTCCACCCAGAGGCACTGCAGAAGAAAGATCTGGCAATTTACCTCTGGAAAATCAGGTGTTGAAGCAAGCCCCTATGGAGCACAGTTGGGCAGCGACGCACCCAGGGATTCCAGGAGCTGACTGGATGGCTGTGGATGAAAGGATCCCGTGTTTGCTTTTCCGTCACCGTCTGAGGAAGGCCCCGGGGTCCTTCTGTGCTGTCAACACCTCCTAGGTGGGACTGAGTAAAACCTCCCGAGTCAGTTACTTCATGTGCATTTCATCAAAACGAATTGTCCGACATAGGACCTGACACAGCTATGGACTCACTATATATGTGCTGAATAAATAATTACGGATTTTATGAACATGCATTGAAAGTAGGTCAGCCATTGCGTATGCGAAAAACTGCTCCCGGCTTAGTAGCACAGAGCAACCCCTGCTTTGGGTCCTTCTTTCTGAAACTATTCTAGGGTCACTCTTGAGCTTGCACCTGCTCAGTCTCAAGCAGAGTGCTCCTGCCCAGCCCACCAGCTCTGGACTCTTTCTGATGCTGGCCAAGCTGGCCTGCTTCTTTGTAGCCCCCCACCCCACCCCACAGCTTCTCTCTTCTACTTCCTCAGCACTACCCCCTCTCCCCAGTACTCAACTGGCACTTTGTCATCCTGTGGTGGCTCCCATGTTGCTGTGACGCTGGACATTATGCCACTAGGAGGTCATATACCAGACGGGTCATCAGTGGTGGACAGCGTGCGGCAGAACTTTCAGTCGGGGGCAGACTAGGAAGGAGAAACAGGAGGCCCGCTGACTTCTGAGAGATGAGCCGCTGTAGGCTTGATGGTAGCAGCAGGACATGGTCTGGTGGGGCCAGCAGATGAGCCTCTCAGGTGAGAAGGCACTCAGCATATGACTGCGGTAGAGCTGCCCTTTGAAGTCGAGCATCTTAATCACGTGGGCGGAGTGCTGTTCTCTGGGCATTCCTTTGCTGACAGACACAACTCAGAATGAAAAGCAGCAGCTGCAAAGGTGTGTTGCTCGTTGAAACCTGGGATACATGAAGTACGAAGTTGTGAATCTAGAAAAGCCGAATCCTCTCACCCACTGCCATAAAGTCCATTGCAACTCATAGGGACCCCTATAGGACAGGGCAGAACTGTCCCTCTGGGCTTCCTAGGCTGTACGTCTCTACAGGAGCAGAAAGCCTCATCTTTCTCCCATGGAGTCTAGCCGTTAACAGCAACTTGTAACTCCCTGCGCTATCAGGACCCTTAGAAAAGTCAAAAGTCATTTTTTAAAAATGAAATGGAAAGCATAGACATGACTGTTGGGGGCTACTTGCAGCCAGGCACCGTCTAGCTCTGTGGATCTCGGGTTGTAGAGATGGATGTTTGTGTGGCCCGTTAGTCCATTGGGCTAATTGCGTCCACGCATCTTTCTATGTTCATCATTCTTCTCTGCTCCCGTTGCACCTTACATGGCTGCTCACAAGCATTTAAGGCTCAAGCGGCAACTCCTGAAAGCAGATGTACAGCGTCTTTGGGAACGAGGTTATGCCGAGACCTTGGTGTTCCTCGACACTGATTCTGAACCCCAGCACCTTATTGCCTCGTGGCACTTGCTTATGTTTGAGAAGCTTTGATAATGTTGTCCCCTGAATGCTCCACCACATTCACGGATACCTTGGCGGCAAAGGTAAATACCTTTGCAAAATCCCCCATCAACCCTCTATGGATTCTCCCACACCTGTCCCGACTGTGTGTCTATCCCAACATGTCTGCGTAGATCACCATTAGTACAGGATTATGTATATAAGAGTATTTGCCTCTGTTGCCTTTAACTCTTGCAAACCTCCCCCTGACAGACATCCTCTGCCTCCATCATTTTCTGCCTGCCTCCCTCTCAGTGTAGGTTGACTTCCTCTTTACCCAAGTTAGCACTTGCTGATCCTCAGCCAGTGACTTCCTGCCCCTCCTTCTTCCCCCCACCCCTGCTGACCATCCAGAATGATTCTTTGGCCCTGAATTATACACGTAGAAGTTTTTGAATTGGAGTAAGTTTTGTGTATATTTTTGCCTTAATTAAAAAGATAATTACATGGATAACAAGTGAGTACAAGGAAGAAGGAATTATTCTAAAATTGATTGTGGTAATGATTGTACAATTCTTCTGGATATGATTGAATTATTGAATTGTATGACATGTGGATGAACTGCCAATAAAATGTTTTTTAAAGGGTGTGTGATTCTTTTTTTAATAATTATAATATATATATATATTTTAATTATTTTATTGAGGGCTCGTACAATTCTTATCACAGTCCATATATACATCCATTGAGTCAAGCACATATGTACACCTGTTGCCCTCATCAATCTCAAAACATTTGCCCTTTACTTTAGCCCTCAATATAATTTGCTTTTTCCCCCTCCCTCCCTCTTCTCCCCTCCCTCCTGAACCCTTCATAATTCATAAATTATTATAGTTTTGTCATAAATTACACTG